ACCGAATGGGTACCGGTAAGCTGACCAGCGGCGCAGCCGCATTTGAAGAGGGTTTTACCCGTTGACACGTCTCACACGTGCGCACGTAGGTGCTCGTCCATTTGTACAGCCTGGGGCTTGGTGGTGACTCACAGAGTTGTACGTTTTCTCACGACAGAGATGATCACTGTGACGTGTCGTGAGCCTCATAGAGAATGCAATATTTCAAACTCTCATCATGAGGAACCACAATTCGTGGTGTACTCGTTGAATCGGTCCTATAATACAGCAACCCGTTATTCAACGATTATCGGTGCAATCGTGCACGCAGTCTTGGTGACAATTTCTTGTCCGAGTCTCCAAACTCCTTGCTTTCGAGAGCCTGTAGCAGCGCTTCACATATCCCATTACCCGCATACGCGTTGCGGATCAAATCTGTCACAGACGACGTTACAGTTGTCACATAAGCAAGCTCATAGTCTGGTCTGCGCGACGACGCATCAGCCGAAGCATTCTGCTTTCCCGGCATTTACTTCACCTCGAAGTTATATTTCGCTAAGAAGGTTAGCCATCTAGCCATCCTCTGCGAGAGGTGGGGCGACTGAGTCGCAGTGCGTAGTGAAGCATGAACTGTTTAGATCACAAACGGCTTGAAGGCGAGCAGGTGGACCCTGAACTTGACGAGTGCATACTTCATCGCAAGTAGTTTTTGCGCCATAATGGGTGCATACAGGAGGCTGTCTTTGACCGCGTCAAAAGCATCCTGATGTTCGGTGTTCCAACACCATTCCGCAACCCTTTTGAGGAGGCTGGATAATGGCCGGGCCATTCCTGCGTAATTTACGCTGTACTTGTGCAAGTGGTTGGCGAGATCAAGCCATTTACGCAAGTCCTTCTGGTTTTTTGCAACAGGCCAGTCTACAACGGCCTTGACCTTAGCGGGATCCGCTCGAAGGTCACCCTTCCCAATGAAGTACCCTCAAATGGGAATCTCTCTCGCGCCAAAGGTGTACTTGTCTGTATTGGCGTACAGTTTGTTCGTGCGCATGCACTCGGACACCGCTCTTAAATGGACGATGTGGTTCTCCTCATCCGTCCTCCCGTGCTCCGCACGACTGTGAACGAAAATGTAGTCAAAGTATGTCTGTACATACGCCCTGTGGGGCCTGAACAACTGCGTCATAAGACGATTAAATGTTGCTGGTGCGTTGGACAGCCCTTGGAGCAACACCTGCCACTTCCAGAGCAAGCCGATCGGAGTGCTCACCGCAGTCAGCGGAATGTCACTCGCTCTCATGAGCAATTGGTAATACCCATCTACCAAGTCGAGTGCACTGTGCTTCATACACCCCACAATCTTATTCTGAAGAACATCCTTTCTAGAAATCGACGTCTGTGTCGGAATGGTGGCAGCGTTAAGCTTATTGTAAGCATGAACGATACGCCTCTTGCCGTTCGGCTTCCGAACACAAACCGTGGGTGTCCAATGAGGAGACTTGCTCTCACGTACCATCCCTGCGTCGTGCTTCGCACGAAAAAAGGCGTCAATGACGTCGCACTGCTCTCTGGGCAGGGGGCATTGGCGTGTTACGCAGTATTTGGTTCCCGAAACTAGGTCGATCTCATGACGCACGGAGGTAAGCCTGAAGGCTGGTCTTTGGAGGCGACGTCTTGAAATTTCTTTACCAAAGGATAGTACGGAACCAAGGAGTTCCGTAGGATCGACGATCCACTTCGTGCGTTCAGCACTCTCTTGGTGTTCTCCAAGACAGCTTCATCCAGAAGCGATGACGAGTTTATCTTCTCGTCCGGTCGTACA